CTTTTTCATCCACATATTCCTCATCCATCACTTCAACAAAATGTATTCTTTTACCCAAAATGTGCACCAAACATGGGCTAACTTTTGAAAAGTCAAAAAGAATTTTGGAGATCCAAAAATAGCTTTTAGACCTATTTGACTAATGTTATAAAAATGTTTCTTCTAATTAGAAGAGTTTTTAGAGAATGTTGATCCAATATAACTTCCTCCAAAAACATTTTTTAAATAAGAAACTCTTTTAAAATTTAGATTCCAAATAAAAATTAGCGTAGCTTCCTTCAAAAAAAATTTTTACAGTAAGCAAAAGTTACGTCAAACGAGTCCTTAATTTAAGTAGAAGTAGAAAAGTATTGTGGGTCATGTTTCAGAAGAGCACGTAAACACGTGTACATGAATAGAATTTAGGGGGCAAAAGTGAACAACATTAAGAGAATATAAATTAGTGTTACTTTTGTTAATTACATGACAAAACTTGTTTATTAATATTTATTGGGCTATATTGATTGGGTCAGGCCCGGATGAAAATTGATGTTTCGGGCCTTCGTATTATAAAGCAGGGAACATTCCAGATGGAGGCTGTCAGGCAAATTATCATTCCACTTCTCTTTGTTAAGTTTATTGTATGTTTGGCTAAGCTTAAAATTTTGACTTATAAGTAAATTTACTTATTATGAAAATAAGTAAAGTTTAAAATAAGTAATTTTCACTGACGAACCCCTATTTAGATTTTGAATAGTTACTTATTTTGATTTTATGACAAGAAATACTATAAAAAAAAAAAAAAATAGTGTTAACTTATCTAAATATATAATACGTGTAAACATAATCAAACACGATGAACTTTACCTTAATGTTCTTCAAGCGTTTTATCACATCATTCAATATAAAGTAGATTGACTAAGTCACAGTAACTCCCTTTCTCCCTACATGAGTTTTTGCTACATAATGTTCTTCGAATGTTTTATCACATCTTTTTTTTTTTTTTTAATATTCAGGTATCTTATCTTACACCAACAATGTCCTGGACCACCCATCCCCGGCCCCTCAACGGTGGGTGGAGGTTAACCGCGGGATATGCTCAAGCTGATCAGGGTCTGTGCACCCTTTATACTCCTGACCCTAGGGAGCCTTCCTCCATGGATATTACATCACCAAGCTGCTCCACCCAAATTGAGTATTACAACAATCAGCTGCTCCATCCAGAAATCGAACTCCCCACCCTGAGGTTGCAAGCCCAGCAATGCCCATCCTTTGCCAACTTGGATGTACCCTGGGGGGCCTGNTGAGTGGAGGTTAACCGCAGGATATGCCCAAGTTGACTAGGGTCCGTGTACCCTTTATACTCCTGACCCCAAGGGAGCCTTCCTCCATGGATATTTCATCACCAAACTGCTCCACCCAAATTGAGTATTACAATACTCAGCTACTCCATTCAGGAATCGAACTCCCCACTCTGAGGTTGCAAGCTCAGCAGTGCCCATCCTTTGCCAACTTGGATGTGCTCCGGGGGGCTTTTATCACATCTTTTAATATAAAGTAGATAGATTACATATTTTAAGTCGTGGTAACTCCCTTTCTCCCTAAAGATGAGTTTTTGAAACTTAATCAACACAAGTAGACTCTTCCTCTCCAAGATAGTTGATAGATCATTTCTTTCTCGTCTACTCAAGGGCGTGTTGACACACCGTTGGTTCTAAGCAATGTCTAGACTAGAGCGGCCTAAGATTCGGGATTCATAACCCCTAGACTTTTTTGTCGGCCTCACTAGACGACCAAAAAAGACTATTGCACAAGAATATTCACAAGGCAACAGATTGAAGTAACAACAATCAAGGGCGGACCTAGGGCTTTAAGTTAGTACAGGTGGCCGATGGCCATCGATAGTAATAAAATATTAAAAGCTCATTTGATGTCCATTTTTGTAAAAAAATGAATTTTAGAATAGTGATTTGCTGGAGAATGTGTGTTTAAAAATAAGGAAAAATTTTAAATTTACGTTTAATATTATTTTATTGAAAATTGTGTGATTGAAAAGAAGAGAGAAAAATGTATTTTTTTAAAAAAAATGGGAATTAAAAATTTAAATATAAAAATTATTTTGTTCAAA